CAGAGTCTCTAGTCACCCAGGCTGGAGTGCAATGGCATGATCTCGGCTCATTGCAACCTCCGCCTCCCAAGTTCAAGTGATTCTTCTGCCTCAGCCTCCCAAGTAGCTGGGATTACAGGCGTGCACCACCATGCCCAGCGAATTTTTGTATTTAGTAGAGATGGTGTTTCACCATATTGGCCAGGTTGGTCTTGAACTCCTGACCTCAAGTGATCTGACTGCCTTGACCTCCCAAAGTGCTGGGATTACAGGCGTGAGCCACCATGCCTGGCTGTCTATCACAGTTTTAAGTAATTTGTTAAATGTGTTTAAATACAATTGATTTCCTTTGTAATTCTAAGTATGTGGTTTTATACATTTAAAGTCATTGTTCTGTTCAGTCGTGATAGCTCCCACCTGTAATCCCAGGACTTTGGGAGGCTGAGGTGGGAGGATTGCTTGAGCTAAGGAGTTCAAGATCAGCCTGGGCAACATAGCGAGATCCCTTCTCAAAAAAAATAAATAAATAAAGATTAAAAAAAGAAATAAATGAAAGTATTGCTTTTAGAAAGAGACCATGGGCCTCCCTAGACTTTCAAAAGGGCCTGTGGCCCCAAAATGGTTATAAGCTCTTATTCTAATTGGAAATTGAGCCTATCTAGATATTTGAAATTAAAAATTATGAATTCATCATTTTTTTTCTTTGTAAAATATTGTGATTCTGTTAACAAGAGTCCTTGCTCTTTAGAAAAATGTACTGAGGGCCTGGCACAGTGATCCTAAGTGTTTTGTTTTATGCTCGGATCAAGTGATCCGCCCACCTCAGCCTCCCAGTCCTGTAATCCCAGCACTTTGGGAGGTTGAGGTGGGCGGATCACTTGAGGCCAGGAGTTTGAGACCAGCCTGGCCAACATGGTAAAAACCTGTCTGTACTAAAAATACAAAAATTAGTCCCGTGTTGTGGCACACGCCTGTAGTTCCAACTACTTGGGAGGCTAAGGCACAAAAATTACTTGAACTTAGGAGGCGGAGGTTGTAGTGAGCCAAGATCGTGCCACTGCACCCTAGCCTGCCAGCCTGGGTGACTGAGACTCCATCTCGAAAAAAGAAAAAAGAAAAATATACTGAGATATAGGCTGAGTATCGCTTGTCTGAAATGCTTGAGCTCCAAAGTGTTTTGGATTTTTGATTTTCTAGAATTCTGGAATATTCTATTATACTTAATGGCTAAGCATCCCAAATCCAAAAGTTCAAAATCCAAAACGCTCCAATGAGCATTTCTTTTGAGTATCATGTCAGTGCTCAAAAAGCATTAGATTTTGGAGTGGTTCAGATTCTGGGTCTTTGGAAGCATTTTGGATTTGGGGTTTTTGGATTTGAAATGCGCAACCTGTAGTTACAGATGAAAAGGAAAAGGAACGAATTAACACCAAAACCATGAGGGGCAGCAGGGCCTGAGAAGTGTCTCCAAAAGGCAGGTTTCTGTATGAGACTGTGAAGGTGGTACTTGTTTTGGGGGGACACTTGGAAGTCATCCTTAGGAGGCCACGAGAGTCTTAGCAACATTTCAGGAGCTCTCCCTGGGACCCTGGGTCACTTGGCCGTAGCCAAGCCAGGGAGCTCTCTGGTCTTCTGGCAGAGAACTGGTTTCCATCTGTCCAGCCTGCCCGGCCTCTGTTTCGAACGCGTCTCCCTTATTTTTCATCTGCCCTGGGCCGTCCCCTCCTTGTGCTTCTTTGCACTGTGTTCCCCAGCCTAGTGCTGGACACCCGGTCAGAGCCGGCGTTTGTCAGGCCGACCTAAGTCGGGCTGTCCTTGTTTAAGCTTATTGTATTTGAAGTTTTAGCCATTTGCGAGTCTTTTGAAAGCTTTAGACAATAACTCTAGAAAATACACAGACTCACACGTCTGAAATTTGCATACATTTCAGGGTGTGGATCCCTGAAAGCCTGAGGGGGATCCAAGGCCAGGACCCTGGTCAGTACTGCTACTGCTCAGTGGTCATGGTGATACTGGCGGTGCTCGCTGTGTGCCAGATACGTCATTTTTTCTTTCTCTCTGAGAATCAGCTTCTGTTATCATCCCCATTTTTCTGGAGGAGGAGATGGGGACCTTTATGGGGGATTAAGTAACATGTCCAAAGTCACAGAGCTAGGATGTGACTGAGCCCCTGGATCCCAACCCAGCCAGTTGGATTCTAGGCTGGAAGAGCCCTTCGCAGGAGGGTAGCCTTCTCCTCAAACCAGCAAGTCTTCCATCTTAGCAATTACCAACTCCCTGACCCCACTCTGGCAGGAAAGCCTGCTGTTTTTCTGAGACAGGGTCTTGCTCTGTCCCCCAGGCTGGAGTGCAGTGATAGGATGATGGCTTACTGCAGCCTTGACCTCCTGGGCTCAAGCGATCCTTCCACCTCAGCCTCCCAAGTAGCCGAGACTATAGGCATGCGCCACCAACCATGCTCTGCTAATTATTGTATTTCTGGTAGAGATGAGGTTTTGCCATGTTGGCCAGGCTGGTAGGAAGGCTGCCTTATATTTAACCCTGCTCTCGGTTCTGATCGCCCATGACTCTCTATGTCCTGAGGTGGGCAGTATTGGCCGCCTTGGGTGGGGCAGGGGGTTCGTGGGTGGCCAGCAGGCTCTGGCTGCTCTCTCAGACCCTTCTCCTCCCTTTCCCCCTCCCCTGCCAACAGCAAGAGGAGAACCTACCCCCTCCCTCATCGCATTGCTTGTGTCTGCCTGAGCTCCTCTATAGCGTGCTCAAGCCTGCCGCATGCTTGGGCCACAGATGAACACAGGTTTTTCTTTTCTGCACTTCCCGCAGGCGAAGCTGGTCCGGTACATTTGTAAGCAGCGGCAGTGCAAGCTGAGCGTGGCTCCCAGCGAGAGGACCCCGGAGCTCAACAGCTACCCCCGCTTCAGCGACTGGCTGTACACCTTCAACGTGAGGCCGGAGGTGGTGCAGGTATGCAGGTCGGGGCTGCACAGGGGTAGGCATGAAGGACCAAGAAGAGGGCACACGCACAAACCGCAGGGCTGGCTTCCCCATGGCTAAGGGGTGATGCACTCTACTCTTGAGAAGGAGGATGGGGAGGGACAGCAGCAGCCAGGAGGGATCCAGGGTACATGTGGCTCGGACAGGCGCCCTGGGAGCTATTGCCTGATGAGCTAGGGCAGCGCCACGCTGGCCACTGATTTGTTCACTACACTTACAACAGTCAGCATTTCTGGAAGCATAGCTGCGTGGCAGACACTATGTTAAATGTTTCTGTGTTTTGTAAGACAGACAATCTCACTTCTCATGAAATCCTATAAGGAAATTACTATCATCGTTGCCATTTTATACGTGAGGAAAGTAAAGCACAGAACGGTGAAGTAAGTTATTTAAAATCACACAGCTAGTAAATGATAGCCTTGGAATTTGGAAACCAGAGTCTGAATTTAGTTTAGTCTTCAAACTGCTACAATATGCTGTCTTCCTTCCATTGTTCTCTCTGCCTGTCTATGTAACCTACCCACCTGCCAGCCAGCCAACTAACCAACCAGCCTGCCCTGATGTGTGCTGTGCCAGGTGCCAGGAGTGCAGGTCAGCTCTCATGGGGTGCAGGTCAATCCTACTTGGCAGGTGCGGTTCACCCAGTCAGATCTCATAAATCCCCTACTTCTACCCCAAAATTAATAATACTAGTTTTTGTTACTGTGTAAAAAGTAGCATGAATGCATAATATGTAGATACTTTGGAAACGGAGAAGGAAATAAATCACATGCATATTCTCTGCCACTCAGAAAATCTATGATCATCAAGGTTGGCGTTTTTTTTTTTTCCTCCCAAAACAGAAATCTTTTAAAAATTTCTATCTGGGCTGTCCTGTACGGTAGTCACAAGCCTCGGCTAGTCCAAATTAAAATGTGCCATAACTTCAAAGATACCAACTCATTAGAAATAAGTCATTAGTAGCTTTTTATATCTAGCATAAATGATGCTCCTGGATATATTAGGCTAAATAAAACATTATTAAAATTAATTTTCTATATTTTTACTTTTTAAAGTGTCACTTCTTGAAAATTAAAATCCGAGTATGTGGCTTGCATTATATTTCTGCTGAACAAAACTGGTTTAAACCATCCTGAATAAATTATGTCTTGTTCTTACCATTTGAAATGCGAACCAACATGTTTTCTCCACATTTTCACCCTTTTGTGGTATATTTGTTATTTATGTTTTATTGAACACCTATGACGTAGTACCAGGCAGAGGTCAGTTCCAGCCATTGGCTATGAGATCATAGTGTTTAATATTATTTATGAAGCAATTTGTATCATTAGGAATTTTCCCTAGGAGAGATTCCCAGATGAAAGTGATACCAACATCAAAGGTTCCATCATGGGGTGCGGGCGATTGGGGATACCTATGGGGGGGGGCTCAGTGCCAAGAGCTTTCTGCACCTCAGATGGTCCTGGAGCTGTCCCAGGCCCCCAGACCACTCATACCCGTGACTCTCAAGAAGCTGGCAGAAAGGACTGGGGTAGCGTGAGGTGAGGTGTAACTGCTATATGAGGCAGAGGTTCCTCACAGTCAAATATACCTTCAGATGTCATGTACAATGAGCTACAGTCTCCATCCATCTCCCCACCCGCCTGCCTGCCCAGCAGTTTTCTGCCTATAGGAAGGTGATCAAACGTGTAATGTTGAGTTACTGATTTAAAATCATGAGGGCCAGGCGCGGTGGCTCAAGCCTGTAATCCCAGCACTTTGGGAGGCGGAGGCGGGCAGATTGCTTGAGTTCAGGAGTTTGAGACCAGCCTGGCAAACATGGTGAAACCTGTCTCTACCAAAAATACATAAATTAGCCAGGTGTGGTGGCACGCACCTGTAACCCCAGCTACTTGGGTGGCTGAGGCAGGAGAGTCACTTGAATCTGGGAGGTGGAGGTTGCAGTGAGCTGAGATTGTACCACTGCACTCCAGCCTGGGTGACAGAGTGAGACCCTGACACACACAAACACACACATGCACACACACACACAAAATAAAAAGAATAAAATAATAAAATCATGGACTTGGAGATTATGAAGAGTTGAGTGGTCCCTCAGCCCCCCACGCATTCTACCTTGTTGCCGTCCCACCACCCTCTGCCCCTCCCCTCCCTAAGAGCTCAGAGACAGAAAGCAGCTTCTGCTCACACTTCCGTCCTCAGCTTACGGTGAGGACATGAGGACTCTATGTCAGCCCCAGAGCTAGTAGCAGAGACATCCTTAAGATTCAGACCCAGCCATGCTGGACTCCAGAGGGCCCTTCACTTCTTTCTCCGGTCCTAAAACATCTTTTGCGGATAGCTTAGCTTCCCAAAGGATTTCCCTCTAGAGATCTGAAATGTGTAGGGGACCCAGCTTTATCTATGTCCACCTTTGAGAGAGGGGCCAGGAGTTCTGGGGCAGAGGCCAGTACCATGGAGGTCAGGTCAGCCGCAGGGGCTGCTTTGGCTTCTGGACAGCTCTGTGGTGATAGCTGGGACAGGGGTCTTCCAGCCAGGCCCAGAGGTATAGGCGATACTGAATCAGGTAACGTTTGAAGCATGAAGTTATGAGTGAAGCAACAGAGCTTGGTGGTCACTGAGGGGCAAGCTCATTTGTATCCAGGGATCAGGCAGGCCGCAGAGCCCAAAAGCCAGAGAGGGTAGGCAACCAAGATGTCACTTGGAGTGGGGGACTGGAGTGGATGCCTGGGTGGAGAGAGCTCTGTGGCATGCTGGAGTCAGGGCACAGCAGCAGGAGCACTCCAGCGTCCAGTGACTTCTCCAGCTGGAGATGAAGAAGCATCTCAGAAACTAACGTGTTTCGAGCAGGGCTCTTACTTTTCCCTGGCTATTGACATACACGTTTTCTTCCCACCCCGTCTTCCCATCCCAGTAAATGGCAGCATTGTCTACTAGTTGCCTAAGCCAAAAACCAGGACTGGTCCCTGCTTCTTCCCTTGCTCTTCCCTTGCTCCAGGCCCTGTGGCTCTCCTGCAAGGCATACTCACTCCTCACCTCCGGCACCGTGGTCCAGGCTGCTGTTGCCTCCTGCAGAACCTCGCAGCGGTACCTTCAAGATTTCTGGTTTTTTTTTCCTCCCAAATCTCATGTAAGTTCCTGGGCTATGGCCAGAGTATTCTAAAGCCTAGAAGGAAAAGGCTATTGCCTTTAGTAAACCCAGCTTCAGCTCCTACGGACTGGGGAGAGGGCTACCGTGGTTCAGTTCTGCTTCTAGGAGTTTCTCCTTGGCCATGTGTGGAAGCCTAGTGATGGGGGAACCCCGAATTTGAGCAGCTCCCCAGGGCTTGGGCTCCAAGGGCTGGCCCCAGGGGTGTGGGCCTATTTTATTCTGTTTCTTAACCCAGACAGTTGTTTGGACTCTGACTCAATACTCACGGCTGCCCCTGCCCACCGCCCTGGCCCTGATGGATTCTGTGTGCTTTCAGTTGGAATTGGCTCTGTATGTTCTGCCCATCAAAGATAGGTGCAGTATTCAGGAGCCAAAGTCCAAACAGCATTAAAAACCCATGCCTGGCAGAGAGAGAATCTTTTGATTTTTTTAACCCATTTATGCCGGAGGGTACAATTTTTTGCATTTTTGCAATCAGACCTTGGCAGTGACCTTCAGCGGTAGGATATAAATAATTCCCATGTACTTAGCATTCCAATAATGGCACACTAGGCATAAGTGGGTTATTGTCATCTAAAACAGAGGTCCCTCCGCAACCCCTGGGCCACTGACAGGTACCTGTCCGCTTGGCCTCTTAGGAACTGGGCCACACGGCAGGAGGAGTGTATTTACAGCCGCTCCCCATTGCTTGCACTCGCATTACCACCTGAGCTCCACCGGCTGTCAGATCAGCAGTGGCATTAGATTCTCATAGGAGTACAAACCCTGCTGTGAACTGCGCACGCCAGGGACCTAGGTTGTGTGCTCCTCGTGAGAATCTAATGCCTGATGACCTGTCACTATGTCCCATCACCCCCACATTGGACTGTCTAGTTGCAGGAAAACAAGCTTAGGGCCCCCACTGATTCTATATTATGGTGAGTTGTATAATTATTTCATTATATGTTACAATGTAATAATAATAGAAATAAAGTGCGTGATAAATATAATGCACTTTAATCCTCCCGAAACCATCCCCCAGCTCCCTGTCCCTGGAAGAATGATCTTCCACAAAACCAGTCCCTGGTGCCAAAAAGGTTGGGGATCACTGATCTAAACCACTGTTTATTTTCTTAAATAAACTTTTGACATTGGAATCATTTTAGATTTGCAGAGAAGTTGCGGGGATGTACAGAGAGTTCTTGTCTGTACCCCTCACCCAGTTTCCGCATCATTAATGTTATCGTGACTGGGGTGCCTTTGTCAAAACTGAGGAAACAACACTGGTATATTGCAATGAATGAAACTCCAGACTATTTGGGTTTCACCAGTTTTCGCTTTACTGTCCTGTCTTCTAGGGTCAGTCCAGGCACCACATGCTCTACATGATTTTAATTTGTCATTTCTTTCCAGTTGCCTCTGCTCTGTGACAGTTTCTCAGTCTTTCCTTACTTTTCATGACCTTGACACTACTTTATTTTTTGGAAGTGAGCCCTCCCTTAGGATTGGGGGACATGGGGGGCAGGTGGGTTAAGCTCCATCTTCTCCGGGGGTGTATCTACACAGACTATTTGGAACTTTTCTGTAGGAGAGAGTTGTCTTTTTTCCTCCATTTATTTATTCATTCAGTCATTTATTTATATCAGTATAGGCTCATGTCTTTTTCTTTTACACGTCGGGTTCTAGTCCAGTACTACATAATTCATTTTGTTGCTCGAATTCTTCCAGCTTTGGCCATTGGGAGTTCTTGCAGGTTTGCTCCTGCATCCTGTGACATGCCCCATCCTTGAGTTTTGTTTGGGGTTTGTGTGTGTATGTGTGTGCGTCCGTGTGTGTGTGC